CAAAAAAACTTTTTAAAAATAATTTTAGCAGGCAAATTTGCCTGCTAGACGGTTTAAGGGATAATCAGGACATCATGTATGTTTATAAAAGTCTTTTCGTTCTGCGCTAGCTACAGTATACTCGCTTCTTTTCCCCTACCCAGGAAACATAATATATTAGTAAATCCTAGCCAATAGTTAAATATATAAAAATCATACTTACCAAACACCCCACAAATTATGTTCTATGAATAAGTTACTTATAACAATATCTATCAATGATGATATAATCTCACATATGTAAAACCCTTCATTAATACTAAGCTCTTTTGACCTAAAAAACTTCCATTTTGGTGACCCCCAGATCCAACTAAATACTCTCAACATCTGATTTATAAGATTCTGCAATTTTTTTAAACAATTTAAAAACATGCCAAAAGATATATTACTGGGCTTTAAAGGAATTTTTTTGAGATAGTTCTTTTTTTCTTCATTTCAAATGAATTCTTCACATGTGGATTTTAGCATTATATTTGTGGGCAATAAAAACTTCCTACTTGACTGGTTAAAAATCTTACATAACTTCTTTGGCAATTTTGTAAATGGGTTTGAGTTGTTATCTAATATTCTATTATATAGAAGATGGTCATATTTCAAATTTTCAATTCTAATATTTGACAGCTCTTTCTCAACACACTTTCACATAGCCTTTTCATCACCTGATGTTTTTACTGCAAACTAAAATTTCATATATTAATATGGTATTAAAAAGGTAAATAACAGTTGGTTCTAAATACAAACTGTATGAACTTCACTCTTCAATACTCTAAAGTTTTTCTTTGCATCATCGATTCAAGGTCTTATTTCTACATTCTGATTATTTAAATCATTAATAGATAATTTCAAAATTCTTGGAAATGATAAAATTATTAGAGTGTTGCATACCAAAGCATTTATTTCAATTAAAGAACGAATATAGTCGAATGCTTCTGATACCTAAAAACAAGCATAAAAACCATTTAGTTAAGAACAAAAAAGGTTATCTCATAACAGTATTGAATGCGCGAATCAATTTGGTTTTCTTTTTCATATGATTTTCAAGAATGTGACGCCAGTGATAAAATTTAACCTCAACAAAATCCATATTTAGTGTTTTAGCATATGCAGATAGCTACTGCCACACCAATACAATAGTACGAAGATGTGGTTCATTCACTATTCACATATCACTTTATATTTCATTTGCCTTGGTAGAAGAAGACAAAATATAATAGATGCTGTTTCGCCATCTCCTTATGAAAAACCAACAAATTCATCATATCTAATAGCTCCAAGTTGCTATTAATTATAATAACTTACACGCTGTATTAAAATTTCTCCCCTTCCGAAATTGCGTAACCTTTCTAATCTTTTATTATCAATGTTTATTGTATTTAGTAATCTTCTCAACGTTTCAATAAAATTCTTTTTCTCTTTCTCTCGATCATTCATCCATTCGCCTAACTTGACCCATTTATACAATGCAGTAAAGATTGTTATTGTGAAAGTGGGCTCATGGGAAACCAAGAATTGTTCCATTTTTTAAATGTTATGAAATACAAAAAATTATAATCTCAGTATATTGTACCTTTATATGTTTCCTTCACCAAAAGCATGCAGTCTTGCATCAAAAAAAATTGAAAATAGAAGTTGAAAACATGCAAAATTTTCACTGATAGAATGTATAATTGCCAAAAGAGGAATCAATATTCCATCGTACATGCGCATTTAGACCAGATTAAGGTGCCCAGAATTCCGCAATTGCATATCGATATTCTGCTGAATTCACTAAATTTGCAGAATTTGTAGAATCCACAGTTAAATAATGTATTTCTATTGGTCTAGTGATTTGGCCCGAAATAATACTTAGCAATGCCTTAAAAATTGAATCAAAATTTCTGCATAGAGCTACCAAATAATATCAGTAGTGCCAGCGCAAAAATTGAGTGTCGGAATCCCAACAGTCCCAACAGCCCTATAAGAAAAATGTACCGAATCGGCACGGGTTAGTTTCGGATAGGCACAGGTCTTTGTGGCATGGGATTTGTATGGGTATGGCCCGGACCGTATGCCCATCCATAAATGAAGCAGTTAATCAGCACGGGTAATGATACATAAATTCACGTACCACTGTGATAACAAATACAAATATATGGATTAATGATTAAAAATATAAATTTACATACGTGATCAATATATGAACAAACTAACCATATATGAAGTAAAATTTTATAAGGAATTTTTTTTTGTCAAGACACTCAGAGCAGCTTCATCAGTGAAATTATGAGATATTGCACTTTTTTTTAAAAAAATCATTTATTGATCTTTCGCTCTCCGCAAAACGAGTCAACACGTATCATGAGCCAATACGTGTGCAACGTACACATTGAACGTGCCGTTCCGTATGACGTAATATAATGTGCCGCCTATTGCCATAATGTCCGTGCCATTCCGTGTGCGTACCACACGATCCGTGCCATTTCGTGCATAAGATCAGAAAACCAAATTCACAAAACAAGAATATAATACTTACTTATCATTACGTTCACTGTTCACAAAACAAGAACATAAACACTTACTATTACACTCAATTATATTACGTTAGTCAGTAAAGAAGAATAAAGAAATTTTGTTAGTGAATATAATTAAACTCAGAAAAACAAATTCACAACACAAGAACATAAATACTTACATATAAATAGGAAAAATAAATGTACAGAAAAAATGAAAAGTGAATTAAATAAAAAAAATTAATACAGTAAATAAAAAATAAATAAATTAATTAATTAAAAATATAAATAAATAAAAAATAAACCGATAAGTTATTAAAAATGTTTATAAAAAATTTTAATAAAAAAAAAAATTATAAAAAAGAGGCTATTCATAAATTCTGGAACACCTGGCACAAACTTGACTGACTGGCAGTGATTATTACTGAAATCGCAAACTTATCGTATCGATAAATATTCGATCATACCTTTGTCGTAGCCGTTTCAAGACTATCAGTCCACAACCTTCATCAGATTTCGAATACTACTCGAATGCAATTTTTTTTTATCCTTAACTACGTCTATGCTATTTCTGTAGCAGTATTCAAGACTACACGGCTAATTGAAGTTGTCACGTTAAACAACAGTATGTGAAAAAAAAATAGTTACCAGAAACTCCAAAGCATAACAGGTAGTCAAATGTATCGTCCCCTTCAGCAGATTTCAAATACCATTTCAAATGCCTTTTTTTTTATAATTATACCTTGCCGTAGCTAGTTTCAAGACCATCGGGTCCATTTAAATTGCAACCTTCATCAATTTCAAATATTTTTTGTTCATCCTGAGCCGTGTCTATGCTATTCTTGTAGCAGTGTCCAAGACTACAATGTTTATTAAAATTTCTACATTTAGAATTAAATAATAATAATAATAATGATGATGATGGTAAAACCTGAGTTGTGAAAGAGTGAAATTTGCTATTATCATCACATGAAGATGAAATCTGCTTTTATATAATAAAAAACATAGTAAAATGTGGATTTCACCCTAACCCGATTTACAAAGCAGATTTCACTATTTTGCAACTCAGGTTTCACCCTGTTCTATAATAATAATAATAATAATAATAATAAACTTACCAGAAACTACAAAGCGTAGCAGTTAATTTCATTTAAATGCTTTTTTTTTCATGCCTCTACCTTCGCTATAATTAGTTTTTTATCCTTAACCACGTTTATGCCATTTCTGTAGTAATATCCAAGACTACACGGTTCATTGGAGTTGTCACATTCAATAGTATGAGAAAAAAAAAAATTACTTACTAGAAACTTCAAAGCGTCCCCTTCAACAGATTTCAAACACCATTCAAATGCACTTTTTTTATATTTATTCCTTCACTGTAGCCAATTCTAATCAGATTCAAATACCACTCGGACCCCTTAAGTTCATCCTTAGCCACGTCTATGCCATTTCCATAGCAGTGTCCAAGGCTACAATGTTCATTGAAAATTCCACGTTCAGAACTAGGTAAAAAAAAAGTTTACCAGAGACTACAGAGTACAAAGCGTAGTAGGTAATCCAAAGTATCATCCTCTTCAGTGGATTTTAAATACCATACAGATATTTTTTTTTCATGCCCGAATCTTCGCTATAACTGGTTCCAAGGCCAACTGTTCATTCAAATTGCAATCTTCATCAGATTTTGAATATCACTCGAATGCCTTTTTTCCATGTCTATGCTATCCAAGACTACACGACTTAGTAGAGTTACCACGTTCAATAACAGTTTGTGAAAAAAAAAAAAAATTACTTGCCAGAGTCTTCAATGTATCGTTCTTTCAAAATAGATGACAATTGAGCTATAATATCATTATCACAGAATGCTGTTAATAAGAATAATTGGTCAATTTTGTATCCTTAATTCATCATATTCCAATTTTCAATGATTATTAATTCATAGATCGATTACGATCATTCAAAGGATTGAGCGGCAAATCTATTTTCAATAACTTTACTCTTAAACGAATGCTATGATAATTTAAGCACGTATTGATACATCACTATAAGCGATCACCCATATCTGATATGTAATAATGATATTTCGTAAATGACAAATCCGTTTTAAATGATTTTGACCTTAAGAGAAACTTGCTATATAGTATTTGTTTAAACAATTTAGAATACATTTTTTTCGATTCGATCAGAGCCGCCATCGAAATTATGGATCATGTGAGAAAACGCCATTGTTGGAACTGCTTATTACATGGCCTGTAAATTTGATGGTCGCCCTGGTTGTGTCAAAAACCATAACTTCAAATATTTTACCACGATGCATCATTTTCGTATTAAATTTCATTTTTAATGTATTAACTACCGTAATTGCTATATGTGATCTCTAACAAATAATAATTTTCTCAAAAGTAATTAACAATTACCGTTTATTAAATATCAATAAAATATTTATACAAAATATCGTTAGCTTTTATAATCTCGCTATATAACGTGTAGTTTCCAATTCAATTGAACAAGTTTTGGTTTTTCAACCTTTCTAGTTTCATCAGACTCCAACTCAGTCTAGAACATTAAAAAACAATAAAATATAAGTTATTACCAGAAACAAGAAACAGGAAACAATATGTCATTGCCATTATTCAGAAACAAACCTCAATGACTGGTATATTATTTGTTGGCGCATCAAATATCTCATCAAGGTTATTTTTAATTCTTTCCTCTAAATCACTAAATAGAACTTGAATTTGTTGCGCACGTTTAATATATCCAAATGTCACAAGACAATTTAATAGGTTTAATATCTCCGCTAAGTAAAAAGTTGGCTGATTATTTTGAAATTCAAACCTAAAAACTGAGCAATTATACAATAAAGTTTAATGGATTTAGCATACCTTGAGTTGTATTAAATCTTTCAATCAATCTTTTTAAGGAGTCAAGAAGATATCCTTCTTCATATATACTTCCCTTTTTACCACGAGCTTTCTTTCTTTCTTGTCGTCTGCGGCTTTTCGCACTTTTGCTGTAATTGTTCACATACATTTTTAGAATTTGAGCATAATTTGCGTATTTATCGTATAAGCGCGTAATAACGCGCGTGAGCGTTATTTTGGAAATTTCATTTTTTTGAAAATTTCATATTTGGCTCAAATAAAGCCCATGTGTGTCTCAAATAACGCGTCACTACCGAATCCGAACATAGTTGTATTAACATATACTGTATAGTTAATGCTGATTCGAAATATCGCACATGCGCATCCGGATAAAACGCACAAGTGCTCAAAATAACGCGTAGATGCGCATTATTACGCGCAAGGTCTGTGTGTTCATATTAATAATACTAACCCACTTCTTGTTGAATTCATGCTTAATTGAGTATTTGACAAAGTATAACGCGTAAATCCACTAGCCATGGAACTTGTGTCTGAGAATGTATCTACATTTTCTATTGATTCATCATTTTGATATGGGTCTGAAACTACATTTACGATAAATGAATTATAATATGCCATGTATTGGATATGCAAAGCAATCAATACTTACCCAGTTGGTTAGCTTTATTTGCTCTAATTTCTTTTAGCCTATTTGTTTGCTGATTTAATTGATCCAACATTGAATTCACATCTTGAAGTAGCTGAGTATGACCTATATTAAATGTCATCGTATAAGTAATGTTTGCCGTGGTAAAAAGTTGTAAATAATGTATACTGTAGTTGATTGTACCTTCAATTACACTTGGCTTAATGTTAGTTTCAATTAAATCTGTTCTATTATACATATGGGACTATGCAAATAAAAATATTAGAACAAGTTAAAATATATGCGTTACGAGAATTACTTCTATAATCAATGATAATAGACAAAGTATAGTCAACTTTCACCAAACCGAACTCTTGTGTAGGGTTGTTAATGGAGTGCTCCAGACTATAATAAAACATATAACCCATGGGATTATATATTTTATTATAGTCTGAGCGCTCCATTAACAACCTACGCTTGGGGGGCTTAGTAAAAAATAATTTCAAAAAGTTCGGATTATAAATGTATTAAAGATTTAATAATAAAAATTTTAAAGTTCAGTTTAAACAAAGTTTATTAGTGTTCTGATTTTCAAAGTTCGAGTTGACTGTATTAGGAAATCAATCGATGCAAACTAATTCAATATGGTGTTGTACTTACTATACGTATTGATTCCGTCCAGTAACGACCTTTGTTCAACAAAATAATTGACTCTTCTGGTTGCTAGTTATATTTTAGAGATTTATCAAAAACCCATTAATTTAATGGAAATATAAATTATCAATATAACATTATGATTACCTTAGTATAATCTAATATTATTTGTGCAGCTTCTTGGTATTGTCTTTTATCCGAAAGTATTTCTAACAATAGTAAAAATGTATTTTATACATTCAGCTACAAAACCAAATAAACAATTGAGAAATAACAAACCTGTAAGGCTTTTGACCAAATTAAATAAAGAATCTGAAGAAATATTCAACTCTTGAGCGATAGCAAAAGCTTCGCGCCATGATCCACAATTTTTATATGAATCAAGTGCTTTCGGTTTATCTCCAGCGAGTATATATGCTTCAATAATGAAATTTTAAGACATTAACAAAGGAATTTGCAAATAAATATTGAAAAAGGCATTATGAAACTTGGTCACTAATCATACCTAAGCCAGCCTCCTTGAAGTTTGATTCCGTAAACAAGTAATCTCCATAAATGGCCATGGCACCCTTTAAATAATTGCAAATAAAAATTAATATTGCAGTTTAAATAAATAAAATAAAATATATAACAAAAAATCCATACTTTATATTTTTCATTATTATTTGCAAATATTGATATTGCAGAATGATATAATTTATGCTCGCGAATATATTTCAAACAATCATCAAAATATTCATCTCCTAATATCAACAATATCAAATGTTAACAAAGTATAACTTGTGTTATCTTAATAACAAATTATTCATCAATTACCCGCAAGACTTAGATTTTGCAAGGCTTTTTCATGACGACAAAGATGGTCATCAATTTTAAATTGTTGGTAATATTTTGGGTAGCTCTCAAGCTCAGTTAAGAAAGGTAAATATTCTCTAGGATCCTATATAACATACTCAATTAATGACATTTTCGACTCACAAAACATTTAAGCGTAACAAATAATACCTTCTGTGACTGTTGAGCAACCATAAGAACGAGACCGAAATCGTACAATCCCAAAGCGACATCAAAAAGTCGATCTGCATCAACCAAAAAAATAGCAAATTTGATCGCATCCTCTGCTAAATCCATATCTTGATCTGTAATAAGTAAATGATTAGTGATTGTAGTTGAGAGGAATAGATAATCAGAAAAGTGAATCTCACAAGCCTTTTAATTTCGCTAGTAAACTCAATGCAGATTCCAAATCAGGTGGCGTTTTTCGAACATATGATGTTATTATTGATTGAAGATATATTTTTGTGTCCATTGATTTTAATACGGCACGTACAGCATCACACACAGTGTCAACTTTTGTAGACACATCATGAGAGCTAAATGTCATAAACATACTTCAGATATGTAATCAGGAACCGCAAGCATGAAAAAAATCAAGAATTAGACCATTTAATTACTTTGAAGGAGAGGAAGATTTAGGGCCATTTTCAATTGGAGGATACATAGTTATCGTTACATCCTCGTTTCTAATGAATTAAGTTTATGGGATGAAATAATAAACTTTGATAATTAAACATTTACCAAAAAAAAAAAAAAAATAATACCTTAGACTTGACAAAAACAAATTCAAATAGTCAACTTTTTCGATTTGGGTAACAAAAGTTTGAACATTTTTTAAGAATGAATCAGGATTATGATCATATAAAATATTTAAATCAATTCGATGCTTTCGACACACTTTGTAAGCTGATAAATAGTCAAATCTATGCAATATATTAATGACAAAGTGAAAAATTTAAATATAATGAAATTTAATAGCACGGCAATGGCAAAAAAATTCATTCATACTTATTCAAGAAATCTCGAACTGATGCTAAGACCAAAGCGCGTGGATATATTGTCTCCAAGTTTCCTCTTGGCATCTAAATAGAAATTACATATTTTATATTAAAGAAGCCAATGCAATATTTAGTTCAATATTTAGTTCAGTAATTATCTTACCTGTAGCACCAAGAATACATCATAATACGCAGCACATATAATTTTTGATCCTCTTTCAACTCTTCTTACAGTTTCATCATAGGATTGAATTACATTATCAAGAACTTTCAGATCTAGTTCATGTACACATATTAATTTATTATAAATAAAATAAAATTTTGGATATTAATACTGAAATATTTACCTAGTAAATTAGCGTGAAGAGGTAAAAATCTTACAGCATGACTCGATGTAGTAAAAATAATGAAGTCATTATGAATGAAAAATGAAGTGCAGTCTGCAGCAATCAAATTTTCATTAACATATAACTTATTATGCTCGCTCAATCCTATCACAAAAGTCTACAAATAAAAGATAGTTAAAAATTGTGATAAAAAAATCTCACTTTAATATAAAGATCTTATACCTCTTTTTTTTTTTCTGATTCAACTTGTGTAGTGCCAATCCAGTTACAAAGTTCAGGAAGAGAAACAACGGGTGTTTTCGAAACAAAAAAGTGTTCAGTATCTTCATTTAAATCATCATGGTCAATTATAACTATAATACAATTAGAAAATTAATTTAATGATAAATAGTTTAAATACTTTAAACTGTTAAAGTTTTATACAAAGCGATACAAAAACTACCTTTGTGAATTGAACCATCATTAGCCTCACAAAGAAGCGTGTCATAAGTTGGATTATAATATAACCTTCGCAAGAAATTTGTCAAATTAACAGTGGTCTCAGAAATTTTTTTTTGAATTTGCCCATTATCATCAAATTCTAATATGATTTGAGTAATGTCATCAAATTGATTATTTGGATGACAATGTAAGCAAAAAAGCATGGTCTTGTTAATCCAAGCTATTTGCCTTATGGGTCCTCTATATGGGCCTTCAATTTTGTCTCTATATAAGATGCACAATATATATACATATATATGCATCAGATAATTGAACATCGTATAATAGATGGCAATAGCAAAACAATAACCAAATGTAATTACATATGAACAATCCCCAGCAACTTTGGAGGTTTTGGAGGGGTATCTGTTACTCCAAGCCATTCAAAAAATGAAATTTCTTGATTGACTTGGAGGACGGCAAAATCATTACCACCATTATTAGGTGAAAATGATACATGCACAGCAGGGGAATCAAGCTGAATCGAGAAAGCAAACATTGGAGGTGGGACATTCATTATTCGAAATGGCGTAAGGTAAATCAAACCTATAATGAAAACAGTTAAGGTTCTAAAATATATGCATATAAAATACCTAAAATTGTCTAATTAAAAAAATAAAAGGATACACCCATCAATGACAGCAACTGTAGCAGCATTACTCGCAGAAATAGTATTTGCGAATAAAACGTCCCATGAAAACTCAAGTCGGTAATAGTTGCCTATTATCAATAAAACGATTTATAATCAAGAAATTTAAATAAAGATAATAATAATAAAAAATATAGTCCAATATTACTATCAGTTGTATAATGAAGTATCAATGCAACTTCTGGATCCCAAGAAACACTTGTTATTGATTCAGTGGAGGATGGCATGATTTCTTGTTTCAAATACCAATGATAGTTATTCATGTACCATAATTGTACTTGTGTATTGAAATAACAATAAGACATGAATATATTAACAAAATAGCAAAAAAAATTACTGATGATAGGGTTAAATGGTTACCACATGTTGATATTTCATTCGATGTTTCTCGCTCCAACCATACGGCCAATATAGTAGAATCACAATTCCATAAAATTTCAACTATCTATTAAAAAAAAAAAAAAAAATTGTATAAATTATCTCAAATATAATTATGAATGTATTACGCTCTTTAATATATACTTTGTGATTCTTAATTTCACGTAAAGAAAATTCGCCATGCCGTAATCCATTTTTTTCAAAAAAACATATTTCATGTTTATCTGACGATTTCTGATTTGAGGCTATTAAATTACCTGCTGGTCTATACAAAACTTTATTAAAAATGATAAAAAAAAAATAAAATAAAATAAAAATAATTTATATACCTCCATGAAAGAATATGACCTAATTTATCGACAGGCTCACTGGTAGACTGCAATATTCCTTCTCTGTTATATACACGTATTACACGAAGTCCTGGCGTTATGATATATAGTAATTAAATAAAATTGATAGCTTTTCAAAGTTAGATCGAACATTTTTAACTACCTTTGTTGGTATCGACAACAGAGCAACAAAACATGCTACCGTCGTCGCACCAAGATACACGTGGATGAAAGTCATCATCTTCCGATAAGGTAAAATTAGACGTATCAACTACTCTTTGAGCTGCAGTTTTTCCTTCTGATCCATGGAATTGTGTTTCTTTTTTACCCCACCCAACACTTATACTAACAGCTAAGAATAAAATAATTTCTTTAAAGAAGGATCATTGCATAGTATGCAAAAAATATGGAATGGTTTGTTTACCTTCGCCCAGTTCTTCAACATTAATAGGAAACTCTGTTATTACCTCAAAATCTTTAGTCATTTCCAGGATTGTATCATTCCCTAAATATTGAAAATCTTGTTAGGATACAAATACGAGCTGCGGATTAAAAGGATACCTTATCTTACCAGTTACAAAGATAACCAATTCTTCATCTGGGCTCCATTCCATACACTTAATTTTTGATTCTACATATCCAACAACTTCGACCTATAATTGTAGGTATAAATAACAACGCCAATCCTTTATGAATAATTAAAAGGACTTACCATCTCTTCACCATTCGCCAAGTCTAAATGGACAAGAACTATATCGCCATTACCAAAAGCTATGCATATCGATTGAATATCCATCAAAAACTTTAATCCTTTAACAATCTCATCCAGATCATTAGAAAAACCATTGTTCGGCAAGAATGTAATAGAAGAAACATCAGAATTTTGAGTCTACCTTTCAAAAAAAATTTTAAAAAAGTAAATCATAAGAAAAAAAAATATAGATGCTAGTTGACATAATTATTAAACTGATTTGATTAGTATATCACCTGTACTAAAGAACATTTGACAAGTTCAACATTAGACTCTGAAAAACGGACGAAATAAATGTCACCATTTTCTGGATTAACTGTATGTCGAGTCCTTTTTAACTTAGAATCAGAGCTGCCGAGAGAAGCAGTGAATTGTGATAATAAAGTTAAACTTTTCATTTTTAAACTGATAAAGGATCAAAGGAAGAATTCAGGAATTGGATGCATCATCATCATCAAACCAGGCTTTTTATCAGAAATTCAGAAATGATTTTTTCCGGATATAGTAACTGATCTGTTAGGTCACAATCCTCCAATTAAAGTTTAATATTATCGTTATAAATGTTGCTGTATTTGACAACTAAAAATTTATTAAAAACAGACTCGAGCGGTTACTCGATATACATATATATAATGTCGACTTTTACTAAAACACACCTATGACTTTGGTGTTTTACCAAAAGTTGGATAACTTGTGTATGGCACTCTAAGCAAAAAAATGCCTAAGCTCCCAAAACTTTAAATCTAACTCCTAATTAGAACTAAAAAATCTGTAGTAAAATCCTACAAATACGTAAAACTTTTACTATTATTAATAATAAATACATGCCAGTTATTAGATAATAATTAAACTTTATAAAGCCATACAAACCTAAGAAAAAATGTTGACTATCAAATAAATGCAACCCCTGAAATAGAGCTACCCTCCTGATTTTGGACCCAAAAATTTGGAGGTTATGTTTTAATAATAGAATTAGATCCGAATAGAAGTACCTCTTCACTTTAGTCTAAATAAATTCACATTTATTTCACCATTTTGGTTGTTTATACAGTAAAAAAGTTCTTAAAAAAATTAAAGAATAAATACAGTATGTAAGTTATTTTTTATCGGGGATGACGCTTAAATCGCATGGTGCTGAAATTTTGACTTATTTTAACGCAGTAATATGAGTGTCGCCAAAAGAAAACCCGACAATTTAAATATAGACTATATTTAAATTGTCGGGTTTTCTTTTGGCGACACTCATATATGACCTAATTTTAATTATAAGTATATATTATATATTTTAATTTGGGAAGTTACCCAACACGTGATTTTAGTGCACGTAACAAAATAAGATACGACGGGCCAATTGGAGTGCGATATGCGATTTTTCGAATCACGTAACCCATGCTTTGACCTTGGCCAATATGCAATAAAACTATAAAAATCATAGAGTGCAATTTTAGACCCACGGAGTAGATTCTTATAATATATTTTATTGAATTTTAACTTTAGAGTTATAATTATTTTGGAGCAGGTTTTAGGTATTTATGTATAAGCAAAATTGCCTTCCCGACATTTTTACTTAACCTACTCAAGGTAGGTTTAGACTGCTATTTTTTGTATTTTCAAGTTTTTCGCTTTTTTTTCTAGTTTTCAATATTCTATAATCTGATTGGTCAAATATCACGTGATACTGCTCCGCTTTAGAACTACCCAAGATTAGATATAGAAACAGCCAATAAAAATGAACTTCAACCCTGATACACGTAAACAATATTTCGCGACATAATCTCGCCAAAAAAACGATCACGCGACCAAGCATGTTGTATTAGCCAATAATACCCGATACGGTATACGATATCTTTTGTTGTTAATAATACAGAAGTTTCTTATCATGACACAAAATACCATTGAAACTCTGGTAGAACACTTCGGATTTGCTCCAATTTCCGCCATTGACGACGTTATTAATTCTGTAAATGAACTTCTTTACACGGCGATTATGGGTTTAGAGCAATTTGTCTTGTCTGAGCTGAAATCTAGCGAAGAGGTTGATCAGGTTTGTTTAATTCCACATTATTTAATGCATTAAATGAGAGATGGAAATTTAAATTTGGACTGTATTTTATTTGGAAGATGCATAGAATTATTCCATTAACTGTTTTTAGTTTTTCTATGAACCCTTGACGTAATAAAGGGAATCCATCAGGTTGAGACATTGTTAGAATCATTGGTTGATCGTCACTTTGATATGTTTGAGATTTATGCTCTGCGCAACATTTTTGCTATACCTGATAAGTTAGAAATCGTGTTATCACATCGAGAGGTATATTATAAAGACATAATTTTAGTGCATAACAGTCGAATGGTATTTTACTGTGTTATCTTTGAAAGGGAATGGATTTTACTTCGGATCAAGCCAAGGAAGAATATGTTGATCAGGAATTGGATGCAATGCGAAAAAAAGTTTTGGCTGTAAATATTTATATATTATCTATATTATTTGTTCATTTATCTTAAATGGTTATTAGAATTGCATATATAAACTTAACAGGTCAAAGCAATGAACTATAAACTTAAAGAAGAAATCTCAAGAACAGACAAATGTGTCAAAAAGCTGGAAAAATGGAAAGAGCGGTTATCGTTTTTGCTAACTACGGCCAAGCATTATAATGGTGATGATTTTTTTTTTTTCAAATATATCACTTCAAATTGACGTGCTAACTAAATTACTTTTCAGTCTCTCCAGTAATAGATACTGCACGACTTGTAACGGACCAACTTCTGGCGATCAAAAGAACCACCGTTAGTTTACAAAGTCAGGTTGATGGCGAAAAACTAAAACAGTTTGCAAGCATCAGTGACGAGCGCGAGTCATTTGTTAGTACTATGGTGCTGAGGCAAACGGAGCAAATGAAAATGCAACAACATGAACATTAGGGTTGCGACCCAACTCTTTTTTTTAGTTTGGGTTTGGGAATCGGTATTTTTACCTAGTTTGGTTCATAACCAAAATCAAAATATGTATCCCATTTCGGTAAATAGTGCCAAACTCAAAAACTATCAATTCATTAAACAAATATTCGTGCATTTAATAGTATAATTTTTAAATTATTCAACAAAAATTCGACTCTTAATCTGGTATATCCAAGTTTAAAGATTGATAATCCAATTCAAGAGATCGATTATCAAATATATAATTAAAGCCAATAACACATAACAATTTTGTTTGGGTGTTGCCAAGTAATAAACAGCAAGCAGGATTCATATTCTTATACCAGAAGAAACTGATTGTCAGGTAATATCAAGGACAATGTGCAACGAAGAATATATGGATGCGCATCTGATTAGACAATCCATTCTTATGATTTCACTTGGGATTTCTATGAGTGTCGCCAAGCGAAAACCAGGAATCAAGAGTTTTCCGAAATTAAATTTACAGATCAAGCTCCGAAAAATGTGATTTAACACACCATATAATATATGTTGTGATTAAGTTAAAATTATCAGGATTCGGAGCCGGCAAAAATCGAAATTGTAGATTTTCGCTTGGCGACACTCATATCATGGGAAGACTTTCGTATGATTGGCTGTTTAAATCAATTTAATTTTACATTATTTATACAGTTTAAAGTACTTTTTAAAA